CAGCAGCAGCAGCAGCAGCAGCAGCAAAATCAGCAGCAGCAGCTGCAGCAGCTGCAGCAGCAAGCTCGGCAGATGGAACCCCAGCAGCAACAAGAGCAGCAAGAACTCTGCCGGCAGCAGCAGCAGCAAGAGCAGCAGCAGCAAGCCAGCAGCAGCAGCAACACAAAGCCCAGCTGCAGCAGCACAGACGCTCTCCCTGCTGCTGCAGCAAATGAGGAAGGGGCTCGAAAGCCAACAGGTAAATAAACAGAAGGGCAAATTAATCTGCAAATTTGCTGCTTTGTCTATACTCTTTAAAAGATGCTCTTTAAAGTAGGCTTACGGAAGCAGCAGCAGCAGCAGCAGCAAGTGCAGCAGCTGCTGCCGTTGCTGTTGCTGGTTGTGCAGCAGCAGGAACAGCAGCAGCCGCGAGCCCGCGTGTAGCCGCCGCCATGCATTATCCTCTGCTGCTGCTGCAGCTGCTGCTGCTGCTGCTGCAACCACCACCACTGCTGCTTTTGTCGCTGTTGCTGCTGCTGCTGCTGCGGTTCAGAGTGGTGGGTGCGCGTGCATTTGAAGGATTTGCTGCACCTGCTGCCTTGCTGCTGCAACCCCAGCAACCAGCAGCAGCAGCAGCAGCAGCAGCAGCAAAGAAAAGAGAGAAGTGGAGAAACAGAAGAAGAAAAGAAAAAACTAATTAAATGCAAAAATGACAAACTTTGGCACTTGCGCTTCATCGAACGAGCTGTACAGACAGCTGGAGGAGAGGCAAAAGCAAGGGAGGAAGAAGTCGAGGCAAGATTTAATTTAATTTAATTTAATTTAAAATTAAATAATAAATAAATAATAAATATTTAACAAATTTAATTCATTAAGAGTCCCGTGGAAGGATAAGAAGGAAACTGAAACGCGGGCAGGCTCAAAGGCAGAAAGCTGCTGCTGCTGTTGCTGTTGCTGCTGCTGTTGCTGCTGCTGCTGCTGCTGCTGCAGCTCAAGCTGGAAGTCCGCAACTGCTGCCAGCTTTTGTTTGTTTTAATTCTTTTATTAATTTTGAAATGTTTTGTTTGTGTGTGCTGCTGCTGAACACCTTTTGCTTCTCTCAATTTTCTTTTTATTATTATTATATTTACTATTATTGTTATTATTATTATCATTAGTGTAAGTAGTATTATTATTATTATTATTCCTATTATTACTATTATTACTATGATTATTAATATTGTTAATTATTTAATATTATTTATTATTATTTTATTTTATTTTGGTTTTCAGATTCTTTACCGAATGGAAGAGCCAGAAGCAATTTGCCTTTTTGCTCTTTTTTATTTATTTCCTTCGCACGCAAGGCCGCAGAGCAGGCAGCAGCAGCAGCAGCAGCAGCAGCAGCGCAGTGCAGCAGCAGCTCGCGAGGGTGCTGACGCAGACCGCGTCTTCACCAGCTTATCTGCTGCTCCCTCTTGGGCAAAAAAAGAAATTAAAAATATAAATGAAAATCTCAAACTTGCGCTGCCACAGCTAGCAGCTTTGAAATACTGCCTCCGGGAGCAGCAGCAGCAGCAGCAGCAGGAAGAGAACTAGTGATTCAGCAGCAGCTGCTGCAGCAGCTGCAGCTTGTGCAGCAGCTGCAGCGGCTGCAGCAGCGGCAGCAGCTGCAGCAGCTTTAGCTGCAAGCTGCTGCAGCAGCACGAAGAGAAGTATAAATTCAGCAGCAGCTGCTGCAGCAGCTGCAGCAGCAGCAGCACCGCAGCAGACGCAGCGCCAGGTGCAGCAGCAGCCTGCAGCAATAGCAGCAGAGGCTGCTGCTGCAGCAGCTCCCGCTGCTGCTGCTTCAATTTCGTACGTCAAGATAGATAATTTGAATAATCAACTTGTCTATATTTTCAAATAAATGTCTTTAAGGAAAAGGAAGAATATATGAAAATTAAAAAATCAGAAAAGAAACAGCAGCAGCAGCAGCAGCAGCAGCAGCAGCAGCGCCCGAATGTAACATGATCCTTGAGCTGTTCGCCCGTGGGTTGCGTGCTGGAGCTGCAACAGCAGCAGCAGTAGCAGCTGCGACAGCAGCAGCAGCACCAACTGCAGCAGCAGCAGCAGCAATTTACTGCGCTGCCGATTGTAGGGAAAAAGAAAAAATACAAAAAATAAATGAAAGAATTCTTTTTTGAACCTGCTGCTAAAGCTGCTGCTGAAGTTGCTGCTGCTGCTGCTGCTGCTAAGAATTATAAAAAAAATAAATAGAATTTCGTTCTGAAGCTGCTGCTGCTTAAAGCTCTTTTGCCTTCAACTAAAGGCCCCTTGACTTGTGCAAAGTGAAATAAGTTAAAAATAAATGAATAAATCCCAGGTAAAAAATAAGCAAATAAATGAATAAATAAACAAATAAGTAAATAAATAATAAATGAATAATAAGAAATGAATACATTAAATAAATGTAAGTGAGTATAAATATAATATATAAATGTTTAGACAAAGAATGTACAAGTTTGAATAAATATATACAAATGTATTTGTAAATATGAAAAGTCCGTTTATATTTATTTAAAGTTAAAAGTATTTAAATATTTAATGTTTTAAATGATTTGATTTATCTTTGCAAATTTAAATTCGTTTAAATTTAAATTAAATGAAATTCCATTTATTTGCAAAAATGCCCAAATTAATAAATGTTCATAATTAGAAGTATTTAATATAAAATATAAATAAGCATTTTAAATGTTTATAAATACTGTATGAAATATAAATATACATTAATACAATAGAGGTACAAATATGTATGTTTGTGTGCTGCTGCTCGCGTTTTGTATTAAATAAATCTAAATTAATTATTTCATTTTGCACTAAATAATTATAAATTAATTCTTAATTTAATTCTACAGTGGATCTTTCTATATTCTGCATTTTTGCACTGTTTCACGCGGTGTATGTACTGCGCGAGCACAGACCTTGCATGCGTTTTATATTTCCTCGACTTCCACTTGATCTGTTTGCATTATTTAATTTAAATTGCTTCATTTAAATTATTTTATTGAAATTATTTCGTTTGTTTTATTTAATTTGTTTAGTTTAGTTATTTTCTTTTGCATTTTTGTTTCCACGTCCGGCGCTCTGGAAAGTCACTGCAGCAGCCAGTGCTGTACTGCAGCAGTTCTTTTGTTTAAAATGCAATTCTTGAAAAAGTATTTATAAATAAAATATAAATTTAGCTTCATATTTATATTTGTGGAACTTTTTAGAGAAACTTCGGGAGGTAAATGGAACTTGTTGCATGCGCAGACTGGGGTGTATGTACACCCAAATGTGTGCATCTCCGCCTCTGCAGCTGTACGCGTTTAATTCTGTCCATCTTTTGTGCAATTAAAAAGTCATTTTTATTCATTTTTATCAATATATTTATATTATATGTTTGCCCTCACTCAACACACGCATGCATATCTACAAGAGGCACTTCTACTTCTTCAGCTGTATCTACAGATCGAGGCCTCGCCTTTAGAGCTGAACTGTACGTACACCGCTGTCTATGCCGCCCCACCAAAATGCCCTGCTGACTAAATCTCTGTTTTGACATTAACCAGTTTTTGTTGGCTCCCCCCATCTTCTTTGGGGTGTACGTACACCTCGGCTGCTCCTGCACTCTCTGCCGCAGCAGCAGCAGCAGCAGCAGCAGCTTCTGGTTCTTCCTTGAGCCGCACAGGCGACTCAGTGGGGTGTACATACACCTCGGCAGCTCGCCTTTTCTCTTTATTTCCGTCAGCTTTCTCTGAAGAAAAAGCGGCAGCTGTTTCTGGTTGTGGGTCTTCAGGTGTATCTACACCTCGGGGGAGTGCTGCGCCCTCGGGTGTATGTACACCTTGGGGTGTATCTGCAGCTCGCGGAGCGCGCGCAGCCTCGGGTGTACGTACAGCCGGCTGCGGACTTGTGTCTGGAGTTTCACTATTTTGAATTTGCTGCGCATTTATGTCTTGTGGGGTATTACTGTCTCGGGGTGTATGCGCAGTTTCGGGTGTACGTACACCCTGCGGTGTCTGCGCATCTTGGGGTGTACGTACACCCCCCGCTGCCGCCGCCCCCTCCTGCGGCGCTGCAGCAGCAGCAGCAGCAGCAGCAGCAAAGTCGTCCACTTGATATCCATGTTTTCGAAAAACCCGCTGCCACAGCGCCTGCGAGGCTTCGTAAGTCTCGATGTAGTCGTCGTACGTCTGCATGCGCACCAGGTGTACGTACACCTCAAGAGCTGCCTCATTCACACTCAGCTGTACGTACACCTCATTCGCATTCAGGTGTACGTACACCTCAAGAACTGCCTCATTCACATTCAGCTGTATGTACACCTCATTCGCATTCAGGTGTACGTACACCTCAGTGCCACCTTCATTCAGATTCAGGTGTACGTACACCTCAGTGCCACCTTCATTCAGATTCAGGTGTACGTACACCTCAATGCCACCTTCATTCAGATTCAGGTGTATGTACACCTCAAAAGAGCAGCGCCATTCAGGTTCAGGTGTACGTACACCTCATTCAGATTCAGGTGTACGTACACCTCAATGACACCTCCATTCAGATTCCGGTGTATGTACACCTCATTCGCATTCGGGTGTACGTACACCTCAAGAACAGTTTCATTCAGATTCAGGTGTATGTACACTCCAAGGGAATTCACAATTAGGTGTACGTACACCCCAAAAAATGTCAGAAACACTGCAGGCACAAGCAGCTGTGCGTACACCCCAAATGAAAACAGCATTCTTGAGTCTGCAAAGTTACATGAAAACGCATTTTATAAAACATGTATATATATAAATATATATATATATATATATGTGAATATATATACATTGTATATAATGACACAATTGCGCTGTGCGTACACCCGAAACGAGAAACCATTGAGGTGTACAGACACCGCAAGTGACAGCAAACCGCTCGAGACTTGCGGGGTTTCGAAGGTTCCTAATTTTGAACTTCACATTATTATAGTATTAAAAGTTTGAGATTTAAATTGAATTTGAAATTAAAATGAATTTGAAGCTGCAAGTTGAGGTGTATGTACACCTCACCATCTCCGTCAAGTCCACCGGGAAGATCTTCGTGGCTGGATTATGCAGCGCCAAGAGGACCTTTTGCTGGCCACCTAAATATAAATACAAATTATAGAATAAAAGTATAATTAATTTAATTCATTAAATAAAATAAATTAAGTTTGAAGTGAAAACAACAAAGCTGCTGCGCTGCGCACTGCAGCAGCGCAGCAGCAGCTTCTGAAGGTTCTGTAAAATATAACTCCACATAAACCGTAAACCCTAAACCCTAAACCCTAAATCCTAAGCCCTCTGGTTACCTTCCGTGGATTCGTTTTGGTTTTGGCGTTTGTTCTGCGTCTGTTTCTTTCTCTGCGGCCCCGGCCCCGCCCCTCGCTGCTGCTGCTGCAGCTGCTGCTGCTGCTGCTGCTGCCTGGTGCCCGGTGGCTGCAGCGCCAAGCGGCCGGGGGGACCCTGGGGGGCCCCCAGGGGGCCCCTCGAGAAGGGGCCCCCAAAGGGACTTATACTGAAATTGTTTGTGCTGCTCATTTCATCGAAAAGATAAGCCAAAGCTCTTCCAGCTTGCGGGTCTACTGGCTGCATGCAGTGCAGCAGCAGCAGCAGCAGCAAGAAAGGATCTGCAGTAACTAATTCAAAAAATGGCATTAATGGCATTTATAATGCTGCAGCAGCAGCAGTGAAGACACTCAAGTGGTGGTACTTTCAATAGTGAAAACTGTGTGCAGCAACTCTGCAAAAAAGCACCTGAGGCCCGCAGCTGCAGCAGAGGCTGCTGCTGCTGCTGCTGCTTCTGCTGCTGCTGCTGCTGCTGCTTGCCACTTACTTGGCCGTCCATGGCTCTGTTGACAGATTCGCCATTATTATATTTGTTGTAAAGAGTTCTCGTCAAGTCGACGCTAAGGGGGGCCCTGCAGGAGGTGTACATACACCGCAGCCCACAGCAGCTGAGGTGTACATACACCCCAAGGGCTGCGGACTGCTGGCCGTTTGTCGCAATTCAAAATAGATAAAAGTGAAGTTAGAAGCAAATTCAAGAACAAGAAAAGAGAACGATTCAGGTGTACGTACACCCCAACGCAGCGCGCAGCGCACGAGGTGTACATAAACCTCAAACAGCTGCGCATACACCGCAAATCAAGACCTACGCTACCAGCAGCAGCAGCAGCAGCAGGAACTCTTTAAATTAATGCAAATGAATTAAATAGTGACGAGAAGAGAACAAAAAAGAAAGAGAAAAAGCTGCAGCAGCAGCAAACTGAAAAGGCAAAAAGAGCTGCATCTCCTCCCCCCTCCTCTCCTGCTTTCAAACTTTCAAATTCTTTTAGCGAATTAATTAATTAATTTAATTAAATTAATTAAATTGATTAATTAAATAATCAATCAATTAAATTAATTAATTATTTAATTAATTCCCACTTGCTAATCCACTCTATGTCAAAAGACAGCCCCACAAACGGCCTTCCGCTGCGGCCCGAAAAGACACTGGAGGGATAAGAGCCTTCGCCTGAGGTGTACGTACACCGCAGCGCAGCGGCAGCGGATATGCAAAAAGTGGAAATTCAATTATTTTAGTTTTCGAACTTAAGGCCCATCAAACAACTCAGCTAATTGCCATCTTTTATTATTTTTGTTTTTCATGTATTTATTTATTTATTTATTTATTTATTTTTTTTTTGTCCACCTGGGGCTGTCTTCATTCGCGCATAGCCCGCCCAGTTGTGGGAAGAAAGAACTCGAAAGAAGAGAAGCACGTGAGGCGCCTCCTGCAATCAAATAAATAAATAAATAGACAATTAATTAATTAAGCTAGCTAGCTAGCTAGCTAGCTAGCTAGACACCTGGCGAGCTAGGTTAGCCAGCTAGCGAGATTAGTAGGTGGCTAGTTAGCTAGCTAGCGAAGTTAGAAATTGGCTAGCTAGCTAGCTGGTTAGCTAGCTAGCTAGCCAGCTAGCTAGCGAAACTCTAAGACGGCTAGCTAGCTAGCCACCCAACTAGCGATATTGGTAGATGGCTAGCCAGCTGGCGAGCTAGCTGGCTAGCTAGCGAGATTAGTAGATGGCCAGCTAGCCAGCTAGCTAGCTATCCAGCTAGCCAGCTAGCTAGCTAGCTCGCCAGATAGCTAGTCATCTAGTTTAACAGCCATCAAGCTAGCTAGTTAGCTAGCTCGTCAAATGGCTATCCAGCTATCTACCTATCTAGCCAGCCAGCTAGCTAGCTAGCCAGCTAGCTAGCTACCCAGCTGGCTAGCTAGCTAGCTAGCTAGCTAG